GGTCCCTTAATTTTATAAAGAATCTTTTCAATCCTTTAAGTCTAAAATTTTTATTTTTATCACCAAAAAAATTCTACATTGAACTTTTAAATATTGATAAAATATTATTAAATATTGATATATTAAGTTGATTTTTTTTAAATAACAACGATTGGTATAAAAAATAATTATTTAAAACTAATAGTATTAAGATTGGAGGACTGAAAAGATACTTTATAAAATAAGAGATTAAATTAAAACTTTATATAAAGTTATATGATCGAAATTATATTTAAATCCTAAACTCTAAACCTAAAATTAATGAAGCGTATAAAATTGATGAATATCCTTGATATTTAATTTTTCCCTTAAAATTGCTCGGTTGATTGTTCCGTACGGTGGCTTTGTATTTCATAAATGATGGTAGTTATTTTCCTTCATTGAGAATAAAGAAATAATGTGTGTGTGTGTGTGTGACAATAGTTAGTTGTTTACTATCATATTTATCATAAAAAAAACTCTTAATTGTTTTTTATAAAGAAGTTCAGGGTATGATATAACTATTAACATGGTTACAAATATGCAAGTTAATTTTTTATTTCAAAGTTAAGGGATTGCTTGGTTGTTGGTAAGTAGAAAAGAAAAGTTAAACGTCTCAAAAAAGTATGGAAATCTATATTATTTTATTTTTTTTTGGGTAAAAGGAAATCTATATTATTTGAAGGCTCGCTAAAAATTTCATTTTTGAGGAAGTTGAGAAAATTAAGACTCACGTTTTCTTTTTGGGAGAAATCAATAAAGAAATTTAATTTCTTAAAAGAATCTCTAAGTAAATTAAGGAATTGATAAGTGAAGTTATTATTTTAATAAATACAGTATATTTTGCCAACAAGCATTAGATTTATTCACTGTTTTTTAGGATAAATAGGTAAGCTATTCCATAAACTTTAGATCTAATGATATAATCTGGCTTATGCTATTAACAAAAATTAACTTTAACAGTTAGTTAATTATGAAATAATGAAAAAAGACATTAAAAATTACAATAAAGGATCAAAAAATTAGAAGCAAGGACAAAAGAATTACATAAAAGGGCCAAAATAATTTGTTGGATATTTTTTTGTAATTTTTAAGGTCTTTTTTTTATTTTTTTAGTCAATTAATAATCAAAGTTAACTTTTGTTAATAACAAAAGCTAGATTGTATTGTTTTCAAAAGGTGATGGAACAATTGTATAGTAAATAAATTTAGAGTATGTAGTATTATTAGATTTAAAACTCAAAAAGTAATTTATTCATTTATCCTTATTTTATGAGAGTAATTTTTTTAAGGGTCCTTGATTGGTATTTTCCATTTTCTTCGCAACTGTCAAAGTAAATTAGAGAAGCAATATTGGGTAAATTATACTTCCTTTCAAATAAAAAGTATATTTTTGAAAAATTAATTTAAATTAAAAATGGACAACCAAGTAACTTTTTTTTTATTGGTTAGGCTAGTGTTAAAGATTAGATAAGATTACAAGCTGTAGGCATAATCCCACTCTTGTCAGCTAAAAGATAGGCTTAACATTCTTTTGGGGCGTAAATAGTTGGATTAAGCTGCAAGAATGGTGATGAGCTCGCTTGGCAAGAAAGTCAACACAAAGTGTAGCTTCATGAGTGGCATAGAAGATCAAATAATCTTGCTAGGTGACAATCAAATCTTGAACAGCTCTCACCTTGTCATAGAAGGGATGAAACTTGGAGCTCTTCTATAGATGAAATTGATAGCATCAAGTGAATTTTGAGAAAATGTGAGCTTTCTCATAGTCCATACTCTTGCATTTCCATTCCAATCTGAATACTTTTGACTTAGGCTACGCTAATAGAGATATTACCAAGGCTATAGGTGAAGCCCCTTACCAAATAACTTATATATTAACTTTCCTTATGAAATTTATATTTCTTTGAAAGTTAATACTTATGAAAAGGCAACTTTTCATGAAAGTAATGAAATTCTTTTAATCTTGGAAAAGTCCTCCATACCTTTTAAAAAATTTAAAAAATAAATACTCTATCCAAAGCGTAATATAATAAGTCAACTAGACAGTTTCTCATGCATTACACAAAATAAAATTAAGGAATTTGAAACAAATATCATCGATATCATTGATATCAATACATCTAAGATGGCTAAATTTTTAAAAAATTTCTATGCAATTATTTTTCTTCGTAGATACTTTATTTATACATATCTTATTTTTATTTCTCGATCCTATAATGAAAAATTGTTTAAAAAATACCTGTTCTTAGAGTACTTAAATTAATTTGACCTAAAAAAATACTTCTTTAGAATTCTCAATAACCCCTCATTTTGGATTATATAAAAAAATTCGACACTAATTTATAAATTATGACATAAATTGTATTTCTATAAATATGGATATAAGAAAGAATCCATAGGAATCCCTCTCTTTTGTTTTTAATTGTATTTTGTTCTTTTAATATTTTTTGGTTCATATTCTTCTTCTTGTTTTTTTTTTATGTGCCAAACAAAAAGGCTACAAAAAGATGCCTTTATCATTCAAGTTTTGCTTGTTTAAAATACTTAAGTAGTCATCGTGTTATCTTATTAATACGGAATGTATGGTAAAATATCCATAAAATAAAGATTGATGATTCAAATCAAACTTAAACTTCTTTGTATTTCTTTTTTTTCTTTTTTACAAATAATATTTATGGATGATAGTTGATGAGAGTTAATTGATATTAAGTATAACGAATCAGGAAAATACATGAAAAATAGGAAAAGAAAATTAAATCTAATTGATTAGGATAATTGAAAAGGCATGGGAAAATACAATGAATGCAGAAGGATAGTTAAATGAGTTAATACTAACAATCAAGGAAATTTAAAAATGGGACTGCTCTTAAATCAATGCTTTCGTGAAAATAGACTGGAAATACATGAAAAATAAAAAAATAATTAAATCTCATTAATCAAAAAAATTTGAAAAGGCATGTGAAAATACATCGAATGGAGAAAGATAGTCAGATGGAATTAATGTTAACAATAAAAAAAAATTTAAAATTGGGATTGCTTTTAAATCAATGCTCCTGTGAAAGTAGACTAAAAATACATGAAAATAAAAAAATAAATTAAATCTCATTAATGAATCAAGAGAAATTTTCATATTAACATTACCTTAAAATCTATTAACCAATTAGAGTCAATTTTTTTTTCTAAAAATGAGACTGTTTTTGAATCAATGCTCCCGTGAAAGTAAATTAAAAATACATAAAAAATAAAAAATAAATTAAATATCATTAAATGCTCTTGTGAAAGTAGATTGAAAATACATGAAAAATAAAAATGAATTAAATGCCATTAATGAATCAAGAGAAATTTCTATATTAACATTAACCTAAAATCTATTAATCAATAAGAGTCAATTTTTGTTTTTTGAAGATGGAACTACTCTTAAATCAATTCTCTAAATTGAAAATACATGAAAAATAAGAAAATAAATTAAATCTCATTAAATACTCCTATGAAAGTAGACTAAAATAAATAAAAAATAGGAAAATAAATTAAATGATATTAATGAATCAAGAAAAAAATTTCATATGGACATTAGCATAAAATATACTAACCAATTCATTTTTTTTTTGAAAATGAAACTATTCTTGAATCCATGCTCTTATAAAAGTAAACTAAAAATATATGAAAAAATAAGAAAATAAATTAAATCTCATTAAATACTCTCTTGAAAGTTGATTGAAATACATGAAAAATTAAAAAATAAATTAAATCTCATTAATGAATCAAAAGAAATTTTCATATTAACATTAGCCTAAAATATATTATTCTATTAACTAATAAGAGTCAATTTTTTTTAAATGAGACTACTCTTGAATCAATGCTCCAGTAAAAATAAACTGAAAATGCATAAAAAAAAAAAATAAATTAAATCTCATTAAATGCTCTTATGAAAATTGACTGAAAATATATGAAAAATAGAAAATAAATTAAATTTTATTAATGAATCAAAAAAATTTTATATTAACATTAACCTAAAATCTATCAATCAATGAGAGTCAATTTTTTTTACTAATCAAATTAAAATTACAAGATTTGTATATATATTAATGATAATTATTTTATGATTCTAAAAAATTAAATATTCGTTAAATATCTTACATATTAAGGAAAAAAAGTTTACTTAATTATTCTAATTTTGCCTTATATTAATAATTAAAAAGTTTTCAAAATTTCATTTAAATTAAGGATTGACGGAGTAAATAATGACAATTAAAATTTTAATATATTTTTTTTTAAAAAAAGAATAATAAATAAAGTACAGGTATAATTAAAAATAATTATAAAATTATCCAATGCTCTATATTTTAAATCAAGCGAGCCGTATAAAAAGATGTCATGCATTTTGGTTGGAGGGAGTAATCTATATTCTTTTTGGTCAATATTATAAGACACTTTTAATTAAATTACACTTTCTAATGAGTTAGTTAATTATCTTTAAAATTATATATTTTTTATATTTATCCTTATTTAATGGAGTATTTTGATTATAAAATTTTATTAATTACACCCTTAATTAATGATATTTGTTAAAAACTTCATTAATTGTTTTTTTTACTAACTCATTAATTGTACCTTTGAAGATCCAAAATTTCCTATATTTTTTGATATCTTACTCCACAAAAATGTTATATATTTTTGAACAGTGTCTAATTTTAGTTATAGTGTATAATTAAATTAAATTGATACATTGGTGGAAAGAAAAATTAAATTGATACAAATTATAAATAAAAGATAAATTATTATTAATTTATTATTCGTTAATTATTTATATGAATAAAATAAATATAAATTTTATCTATTAAAGGAGCGAACCCACGTTTGGCAGATTTTTGTTTTCACACGTGACGTTTTGGCAGATTTTTATTTTTAAATATCCGAAGCGTTGCCATTAAGGACTGCTTCATGAACAAAAACTCCAAAGTACATCATTTATTCGTGGACAACATTGGCACTGGGAATAGCCTCTCCGCTGTCGGCTCGTTCTGTTGCTCGATCTTTCTCATCACAGCCAAAGGTCCAAGAAGAAACAGAAAATCTTAGTATTTGTAATTAATAATTCATATTCTCAACCTCATATTCTTCATTTCGTGAATTCGTACGTTTCATAATTGTCCAAGATGCATGCAAATTGTGGTTATTTTATACTCCGTTCATTAGTCTATGATGGAATCTTAGAGGCCTCTCACATTAAATGCGTTAGTCCCCTGTCCTCTTCCATCGCTCTCTCTCTCTCTATTTCTTCCTTCTGATATTTTTTTGCTTCAATCTCGGATTCCGTATTTCTCTCTCTCTCTCTGGGTTTTTGGTATTTCTTAAATACAGACCAAAATATCTCGGAGATTGCTTGACTACTTGCTTTTCTTTCAACGAAGGTTTCGATGCATTACGTTTTGCAGAACTGGGTCTTGTAGAACCTTGTTTTTGGATGCATGTCTTGTATAGTTGACCTTGATTCCCGTCTCAGTTTTTTCAAATAAACTTCGGTCATTTTGCATTGGTTTTTTTTTTTTGGGCACATTATTTCTCTTTGTTTTGTTCAAGAGATTAACCTCCTTTTAAACGATCGTTGATTTATCAGGTTTGCTTGACTGAATTGCATTGTTCTACCTTCTTATAATTTCTTTCTTTTTTTTCCCCTAAAGGATTTATCAGATTAACCTCCTTTAACCTCCTTTTTAACCATGTTTCTTTTACAGTGTTACCCCGCAGAAGTTGATTGGAGAATTAATTGATATCTGAGAATGACCATCGGAAATCTTAAAGTTGGGACAAAAAAGAAACATTCGCGAAAGGGCAAAGCAGAGCTTAATGAAAATGAGCCATTGTTGCCTAAAACTCAGGACGTTGATGCTGGGTTTGACGATCTTAATGGAGCTTCATTTTCTGGAGCTGTTTTTAACTTGTCCACCACAATTATTGGTGCTGGGATCATGGCTTTGCCTGCAACCTTTAAAGAGTTGGGAATGTTGCCGGGGATTCTTGTTATCATCTTCATGGCTTTCTTGACAGAGAAGTCTATTGAGTTCTTGGTCAGGTTTACCCGCGCAGGAAACTCTGTTTCTTATGGAGGTCTAATGGGGGATTCCTACGGGAATTATGGAAAAGCTCTGGTGCAAATCTCTGTGGTAATCAACAACATTGGTATACTCATTGTTTACATGATTATAATTGGTAAGATCATATTTGAGTCTTTGGCTTAAATATACTTGGCTGTATATCTGCTCATTTTTGCATATGTTTAGATATTACTCAGCCTGGAATCATTGCTTTGTTTTATTATTGAAGTTATTTATTTATTTTTAACAATAAAGGTGATGTGCTTTCTGGAACATCATCAAACGGAGATCATCATCCGGGAATCTTTGAAGGATGGTTTGGTGTCCATTGGTGGACCGGGCGTACATTTGTTATTCTTTTTACAACTCTGGCTATATTTGCACCACTAGTAAGCTTTAAGAGAATTGGTGAGTGAGTTCCTTTCCTAAAATTAAATTACAAACACTTACTCTCATTTATTAAATTACATGTAAGTGAAACTCTTTTTGCATGAACAACATCTATGAAAAAAATTACCTACCATTGAATGGGGAGCATGAGATCTGACCACCCTCCATTTCACAAGTGCTAACAAGAAGGATTTTTTGTGGAGTTTTCGCCAAATTAATCATGAAGTCTCTGTTGGAAGTGTTGAGTTTTGACGGAAACTTAGCATTTAGGCTTGAGATGAGTTGAGTACTCCTAGTAGTTGCTTTCAGTTATATTCTGAAAGGGGTAGGTTATTAGAGAAAACAGGTAAAAGGAAAATTCGTAACTTGTTCTGTTGTATATTTTGAATCACATCTCACAAGATATGTAGATATGCATTATGGTTTTAGGAGCATTCTATTGCTTTGAAACCTCCATACTGGTTCATTCATGTCACTTGCCGTGTATTAAAGCTTTTTATTATCTGTATGTTATGTGGTGAAAAGAGATCTTATTCAAATATATTTGTGTCATATTGGATGATGAAATCATTGACTCTTGCTCTAACGGTTGCAGATTCATTGAGATTTACATCTGCTCTATCAGTTGCACTGGCAGTTGTTTTTCTGGTCATTGCTGTGGGAATTTCAATTGTCAAGATTATAAGTGGAGGCATAGGGATGCCCAAACTCTTTCCTGTCATTACTGATTTCATGTCATTTCTCAAACTGTTCACCGTGGTTCCTGTGCTTGTGAGTGCTTATATCTGCCATTACAACGGTATGCAAGTTACTTTTTCATACCTCAGATACGGACAACTAGTTTATTTAGGTCTAGGTTGGCTATTATTTTGTATGAGTGCAGAGAAGTCAATCAAACAATTTGTCTCTTACCCTTCGGACCTGTTCCTGCCCAGTGAATATGAAGTGAATCATGTAAACTGTGTTAAAACTGATCATAAGTGTCAAATCTTGGCAGGATAAATTGGTGTTCAGGTTATTAATTTGATTCATACATTCCTCCTATTCACCCTGAGTCAGATAGAACACTTGACACTTGTCATCCAAGTTTGTCATATGCTTTATTCTGTTAGTAACATGATTAATGCAAGTATTGTCCTTTCCTCTTATCCTTGGTTGTTTGAAGTAGGTGTGGCAATTCTAAACCAACGCCACAAGTATCACTAAAAAATGGTTCTTGTTGCCTAATGTTTTAATTACCTTGGAGCATGACATTTGTTACTGTCAGCTTTCAGGTTTTACCTGTCTGCACACTGTCTATTTGCAAACCAATATCTGCATTTTATCAACTTGTCAATAATTGATCTGTGTAGATGCTTTATTTGCAGTTCACAACATAAATAATGAACTTGAAGACTCCAGTCAGATGCAAGGGGTTGTGCGTTCTTCCCTTGTTTTATGCTCTTCAGTCTACTTACTCACAAGCTTCTTTGGGTTCCTTCTTTTTGGTGATGAGACTCTTGATGATGTGCTTGCTAACTTTGATACTGATCTTGGAATTCCTTTTGGTTCTGTGCTCAATGATGCTGTACGTTTTAGCTATGTAGCACACCTCATGCTTGTATTTCCTGTTGTCTTTTATCCACTACGGGTCAATGTAGATGGTCTTCTCTTTGCTTCATCAAGGCCGTTGGTTCTGGATAACTTCAGATTTGCATCATTGACCACTGGCCTCATAGGTCTTATCTTCCTGGGAGCAAATTTCATACCTAGCATTTGGGATGCATTCCAGTTCACTGGAGCAACAGCTGCGGTATGTCTAGGATTTATATTTCCAGCTGCCATCACTCTCAGGTCAGTTCTGACTTTAGTCAACGAATCTTGCTATGTAGTTCAAAGATGAAGACGGTTCATGAATGTAGTTTTTGGATTTGAATCATTACACTAAACTTTTCCACATGAATATCTCTATTTTTCTGTATCTGTATATTATCTGTGTCTCTAGCGGGTCCAATGTGGCACCAGAAAGAATATAATGAGCCAGGGAAGACAGAGATTAATAAACATTTTGTGAACTTTGAAGTTTGAACTGTTTGTCTTCTTCCCTATAACACGCTTAAAAAATTGTTGGTCCTTGCTTTTAATGTCTTACCTACTTCAATGAGCACATCTCTTTGTGGAAGAAATTAATGGAAATTGGGTAGTCTTTGCATGTTTGGATACCAAATTTAATCAATTTTTAAAGGCCAAAGCCATGATTTCATGAAAATATATTCAAAAATCCCTATTATATGAGAAAATCAATTATAAATGCAAAACCATGATTTCGTGAAAAATATTCAAGCACTTATGTCAAAATCAATTATAAATTTAAAATTATGGTTTTCTTAAAAATATCCAAACACCTCTTTACATGCCAAAATCAATTATGAATGAAAAACCATAATTTATAAAATAAACTTTATATGGTCTTTGGATAAATTTTTAGGGAAGTATAATTAAAAAGCTTAATTGAAAAGCAGGTAATAGTATCAAGGCAAATACTATAATCTAAGCGTGTTATGATGGTTATCATCCTTCACTCTTACTGTAAAACTGATTTCCCTTGACTAGATGTTTTTGCTGCTAAGCAAGAATTCCTTTCCATGCAGGGATCAATACAACATAGCAACTAAAACAGACAAGATTCTATCTGTCATTATGATTGTTCTGGCAGTCTTCTCAAATCTAGTGGCCATTTATAGTGATGCCTATGCCTTGATAAAGAAGAACCAACCTGCACATAAATGATCTCTCGGGTGAATTCTGCAAAATAAGGCCACTGTTGAAGACTTGAAGGATGGCCATCATGCTGGGATTAGAAAAACACAAGATTCGGGTAAGCTCAAGTAAGTGTTTACATGTAGATTTTCGGATAATCTGTAAAATATATCGACTTCTTGTATTGTACCTGAGTCGTAGAGTTAGAAAATGATGGTTTTACTGAAGCTCTGATGGGTTCTTGAGTGGATAAATCTGCTTCAAAATTGGAGGCGTGCTTGGCAGGCTCCTTTATAATGTTTTACTGGGCAGGTTGAGAAGGTTGCTTTGTTGGATTTTTCTTTACAAATGCAATCAATGTTTTTAACCCACTTAATTTGTAAACAAATGTAATGATTGGCATTTGTATTCATTTTTTTTTGGATAAAGCATTTGTATATGTATTAATTGCTTCGTGAAAAATAGAAACCTTTGCTTGGCCTGCTTGATTCATAGATTTATGATAAGACAAAATTTGAAAGGCTTTTTAGTTCTTAGTACTCCCTCCATCTCAAATTATAGGACACTTTTAAAGGAGTTCTTCCGTCCCAAAATATAAGACATTTTGAGTAGATTAAGGTTTAATTAAATGCACCAATTTCAATATTACCTTTTATCTCTTTATGATTAATTTTTATCATTTCTCTTTTCAATATATTAAATGATGGGTATTTTGGAAAGTTTATATTTTTGTTTTGGAAAGATAAGGTTGTTAAGTGTATTTAGTGAGATTTATTAGTATGTGAGATTTTGTTTAAAAATGTCTTATAATTTAAGGCGAAGGAGTATAAAATAATTTTTTTTCAGTTTTACTCTTTATTTATTTGTTATGATTTGAATTCCTAGGCAACATTTTAACATGGTTATTCTTTTTTGGTGAAAATTTATTACTTTGTATATTTGTTATGATTTGAATTCCTAGATGATAATTTGATATGGTTATTAATTGCAAAGAAGAATAAAATTAGAAAGTTACATATTTTTTCCAACCATTTTAATGATATAATTATCATTTCTTAATAAGTGCGAAGTTAATTAAACTTGTCTTGTATATTAAGGACCGGAGTGAGTGTGTTAACATTAATTGTCCATTAATTTTCTGGTCTATTTTTAATGTCAATTAATTAATTAAAATCTCAAGTACTTTCACATAGACTCTCATGTTGTTAGGAATCTAGGTTAGGACAACAAGGGCTGTCCTCAAATTAAAGCTAAATAAGATAAATATAACGCTACAAATGCCATAACGTAGCTGATTAAGGTATAAAAATACTTGAATTTTCTTTTTAGGAGTTTCAGGTATTTTTTTTTTAAATTAACAATGGTCTGACCTTCCTTAATCTATTAAAATAGCTTAACATTAACCTTTAAGTTTTAGAATAGAACTTAACAAATTTAAAAGGATTGACTCTTCTTATAAAATGAATGAATATTTATGTATAATTATTGACTTAAAGATATTCAAAGTTTATAGAAATAAGTTTATTAAAAATAAAGTTTCTAAATATTTTTTTACCTTAATTTTACGATAGAATTTTTTTTTTTTATTAATTCCACCACACTAATTAAGTAGCCATATGGATATAGAATACAATCATCATCGATCAAGAAATCAAGCAAAACACAGAGCTATGAAAACCCAAACAATAAAGTGAAAGACACAACTAATTGATGAACACGTCCACATCCACGCATTTATAAATGTCAAAGACAATCATTATATCATTCGTTCATACAAATATCAGAAATTAAATTGTGGTTTCTGGTTTAACGAAGATGCCAATTGCGTCGAGGTAGTGACCAGCCCTTCCATGGAATCCAAGCACCGTATTATTGTTTATAGGGATCGAGAAAGAAGTTCCTGAATTGGTTCCGAAAGGTCCGTACGTAGCCATGTTTGTAGCAAATAATAGAGATGTGATCGTTAATAAACTGGCAAAATTTCCATGCGTCCCACTTACGGATATTAGATGCTCTGAAGGCTAGTTAATATGAACCTACAAATAAACCAAAATAAATTTTAAAGTATGAATCATGTACAAGTGCTTAATTTGTTGGAGAAAATTACAAAAGGACTTTGGAAAACTAGTAATAACGATTGAGGACCACAAAATTATGAAATTAAATTTAAGGATCATGAACTTTTATAGTTTAAAAATTAATCCTTTGACAAAAATGCCCTTCTTTAAAATGCATAATTGGTTAGCTAGTGTAAAGGGTCTTTCAGTCAAACGATGATTTTTTTAAATTGCAAAAAAAAAAAAAAATACCACAGTCCTTAAATTTAATTTCAAAAATACCAACAAAGGTTGGTCCAATAAATAATGATTTGACCAATAACCTGCAAGGTTGTATGACTAAATCTCAATGCCGATATAAAAACTTTATTAGTTGACGATTTGCAAATATCTCTAAGCGCTTCTTAAATTTAGAAGCATGCTTTAACTTCAGTGAATTATAAATTCTCGAAACCTTATTCACTTAAAATTTTTGTTATAAAAAAATGAATTAATTTCAAAATTTTGTAGTACTCAATCATATTAATTATTTTCTCATGTCCTTGATTGTGATTTTTCCTAGTTTGTTTTATTTAGTAAATAACAAGTGCTTACAATTTGCCTTTCACCAGTGTCATTGGGATTGCAGCCACCAAATGTTGCTGAAGTAATGCCACTTGTGTCCCGGAAAGATATGGATTTGATGTTTAACCCTACGTGGATGATTATCTGCTTTATCCCTTCATTTGTTGTATAACTCCATGGACTTCCACCTCGGCCTCCCCAGGGACCTATTGAAATACTTCCTTCTATTATGTTCCTCTGCAATATCACAAATTTGACTCAGCTATTGAAACTTATGCATACATACATAGTTGCATGATTCATATATAAGTCATGAATAGTATAACTCATCGTGAACTCCATGCAAAGCATGGAACTCACATTACACCCATTATCATTATTAAAAAAAAAAAAATTACTGGTTTCACATAGATGCCGATTGAGTCGTGGTAGTAGCCTGAACTTCCATGAAATCCGATGACATGAGAACCTTGAATTGGTATGGAGAAAGAAGTGTCTGAAGTAGTTCCGAAAGGTCCATGTGTGGTAAGATTGGTTATGAATGACAGTGATGTGATCACTTTGAGTCCATGATAATCTCCAAATGTCCCACTTATGGATATCAGATGCTCTGAATGCCCATCAAGTTCAACATACACTTGCAATATGTATGCACAATCAGCTCACACAAACAAGAGAAACCAGGTTGGCTAAATAAGGAAGATCTAGAATTAAAAGAGAGAAATGATTTAACTAAATGGCAATAAGCTCACTATTTTTTTGTCACCAATTGCATTTGGATTGTTGCCACCAAATTTTCCATAGTAGTGCCCGTTAGCGTCTTTGAAAGCGATGGACTTGATATTTGGTTCTTTCATGAACAATTATCACTTTTATCCAACTTCTCACCCTAAAACTAAAAGCATCTCCACCTGGACCCCCCCATGGCCCAAATGAAATGCTTCCATGTGAATGTACCTGCACCAAAGCCAATGGTCATATAGTCATCTGCTATCGCTGAAGAATTGAAAAGCGAACCGGTCAAGATACTAATTTAATAGTTTACTAGTTCAACTAGGTTGACTCGGATTTTCATACCGTGACTGCCACACTACAATGTTGTAAAGCTAGCTTAGCAACACTAACTTTGCAACTGACAAAAAAGTGTTATCTATTCCTTAAATACACAACAAGCAAAAGTCGTTGCCAATTTCAAAAACTTAGACTATAGGCAACGGTTTTGTCCTCCGTGACTATAGATTGTAAAAGTCCATTTTCTTACATTTTAGATAACACTAGCATATATATACCGTGTCTAGAAACCCATGCCTGATCATTGCATATATAGTTATAAGGTAATAGTTTTTTTCACCCCATAACAACAATTTTTATTTGTTGTCATAGACAAACAATGTTGCAGTACTAGGGAATACAAATCAGAAGAATCAAACGTAATGGATACATGATTTACTAAAACATAAATAAATTCTGTTAGATTTGAATAATGAATTACTTACTGGGTTCACAAAAATACCAAGTGCATCAAGGTAATCACGAGCTCTCCCATGGAAGCCAACAACAACACTATCTGCTATAGGGATAGAGAAAGGCTTGCCATCAGAAGTTGATCCAAAAGGTCCATAAGTGGTGAGATTTGTGATGAATGATAAACTTGACTACTAAAAACCCATCGTAATCTCCATAAGTTCCACTTATAGATTTCAAATACTCTGAAGGCCAACGAATTGGAATCTACAAATGATATAATAATGATATCAATTAATGTATGACAATGAATAATAATATATCATTAATTAATAACAAATTAAATCACCTTTTTCTCTTCACCCCTATCATTGGTGTTCCTGCCTCCAAATGTCGCAGAAATATGACCATGAGCATCTCTGAAAGAAATGGACTTAATATTGACTTGCTCATGGATGACTATCTCAGTTATCCCACCATTGTTTGCCTTGAAACTCCAATGCTCACCACCTGGACCTCCCCATGGACCTAAAGAAATCATTCCTTCCAAGGATTCCTGAACACAAACCAACATGAATATTACATGAGCATGTTAATGTGAAAAAATTAATACCTTAGAGATTCGTGTCATAGTACCATTCGCTTTGACTACTTAGAGATGAATGTTGTGTTGAATGTTGATATTATATGCAGCTTTGGATGTATGTGGTGAATGATTATAACTCCTTCAGGTACTGTTATCAATCAGTTCCATAATTTTGCAGGGGAGGAAATTTCTAAGAAACTTTTTCAACTTTATTACCAGAATGGAAGCCAACTGGGATGCACAATATAAAATTGAATCGGTGCCAAGGCAACTGCAGATGCTTGAAATTTCCTTTAAATGAACCAGATTTAACAGTTTTTCAAATAGCAGAGAAAAAGAAGAAAGCATAGCAAAGAACTGAAGAAGGGAAAGCAACAGTTAGGATAATGCCAAACTAACCAGCTGGAGTCTGCCGCCGGGTCTACTGAGCAAAAGAAGACGAAGATGGAGTGCGGAAGAGGAAGACTGGAATTACCGTCGGCTCTCATGTGCTGAAGAGTGAAGAGTGAAGAAGACGAAGGACTTGAGCTGACGAATCATTGAAGACCGACAGATCACAGAACAATAAAAAGACGAGCAGCTGAGCATCGAGGTCAACAGTATTGACTTTTGAGCCAGTGATTGAAGTTGAAGCGTTCGCATGCATTCAGTCACACGTGGCCAAATCATGACTTTTTATTTACTCTGAAATGATGTGCTGTTCATTTTAAGTTTTTTTAAATATTTTAAATATATTCTCTCCATCTCAAATTATAAGATACTTTTAAATAAAATCTCACATATTAATAAATCTCATTAAATATACTTGATAACCTTATTTTTTTAAAATAAAAATATAAACTTTTCAAAATACTCATTATTTAATATATTAAAAAGAGAAATGATGAAAATTAATTATAAAGAAAGAAAATGTAATATTGAAATTGACGCATTTAATGAAACCTTAATCTATTCAAAGTGTTTTATATTTTAAAACAAAAAAAAAACTCTTTTAAAGTGCCCTATAATTTGAGATGAAGGGAGTATTTATCAATATAAAAATTATAAAAAATTATGATATTAAATTTAGACTATCTAAAGTACATGTAAATAATAAATAGAAATTATAAAAAAATTTAATATTAAATTGACTCATTTAAGCTATATCTAAACTGTTTAAAATATATTTAAATAGTCAAATTATAAAAATTAAAAAAAATTTAATATTAAATTAGATTTAAATTAAATCTGTATTGATTAGATTGATAATTAATAAATCAATAAAAATATTTATATTTTTTTAAATTTTTTATCTTAATAAATGTAATTAAAAACAAAATATTTTAAATTTAAATGGTCCTAATTTCATCAAAGATTATGAGTATCATGGTTCTTATTTTTGGCAGAAAACAATTCAAATTTAATATCAAAATTTTTTTTATAATTTTTATATTAATAAATATAATATTTAAATATTTAAATATTAATTTAAAATGAATGATAAAGATCATTTTAATATAAATGAAATGCCACGATTTGCCACGTCCTAATGAGCGTTCAGTGCTCATCGAATGCGAACGCGGAGTTGAAGGGTTGATAATCTTTTGAACGCCAATTTTATCCCTTTAAAGACCTGCCCGAGCCATACACTCCTGCTTCGAGTTATGGGTTCTGCCAGTTTTGCAAAAAACCACCCATTTTAAAACGGGTTAACTCAGGTCAATTATTAGAATGTGAGTATATAAACTTGCACTATTGATATGCCATGGTGATAAAAAATTATTTTATTCCAACACATTTCAAAATATGTAGCACGTGCATATTAAAATGTAAAAAAAAAAAGTTATTTCAAAGCGTGTTTTAAATTTATTATCCTATATGCATGTAAAAATAAAGGTTTAAGGATTTGTCATCCTATACACACACACATGTGTGTGTGCATGTAAAAATATACACAACAACTCGTTTTATTAAAAAAATTATTGATATACATGTTAATTAAACTTGGTCAAAAAATATACTCCTTTCGTTTAAAAATATAAGATATTTTTTGAAGAGTTAGATGTTCAAAATATAAGGCATTTTTAATTTTTTGATGTGTAATCATTGTTTTTTTTTCAAAAATGCTCCTATTGATAATGACTTTATATTTATTATAAGGTGTTTTATAGAAGTAAATATGAAAAGATACGATTAGTTGAAAAGTAAGTAATTACTTTATTAGGGGGTGAGATTCGATTAAAAATACCTTACATATTTGAATGGAAGGAGTACATATTAATTAATTTAATTTATAATTTCTTTTCAGGTTTCACACATACTCTTTTCATTTAAAAATATAAGATATTTTTTGAGGGGTTAGATATTTAAAAGACATTTTGAAGGTATTAATTAATGTAACCTTTTAATGTGTAATTATTATCTCTCTTTTTTTTAAATACCTTTATTAAATAAATTACTTTATGATGAAATTTAATTAAAATATTTTAAATGTTTAAATGTTTAAATGAATATGCTTTTTTTATTTATTACTGTTTTGTCGTAGGTCGTATACCTACCTTTTTATTATGGCCCAATGTTATACCTTTATTTTTCTTTATCATATAAAATTTTGAAGAAAATATAAAACACTAAAAAAAATAAAGTATAAAAATTAAAGAAAAGAAAAAAAAGACTAGAAAAGTGATAATCATCCGGCAGCAATTACTTAAGATTTATAGACAGATAGATCCTCCGGCTGTTGTCTTGCTACTTTATTTGGTTTTAGAATAACTACAATTTTATTCATTTAGAAAATAAAAAAAAAAGAAAAAAATTAATCTGAACGTCCTTATAGATTCCTATAATTTATTTTATTTTAAGTAAATCCTTATATAGATTGATCCATTAAATATATTAATCCTTAAAAGTTAAAATTAATAATGAATTATTAAATTTTTCAAAAACAAAAACTCTTTAAGAGTTTATAGAAAATTTAATTTAATATTTTCTCAAAAATAAAAAAATAAAATTTAATTTAATACAATATTTACATTTTTATTAACTTTTTATGAAATTTTATGTGCTGAAAGATATTTAAAACACAACCTCATTATATAAATTTTGAGTTATAAAAATTATATAATTAATTCTAAAATTATATAATTTTTAATAAAAATAAAAAAATTTAATTTTATTTTTTAAAGGAAAAATTTAAATATTTTAACGGATTAGAAAATTTAATGAATCAAATTATAAAATTTAATTAAAATAAAATAAATTATAGGGACCTAATTTAAAATTAAAAAAAAATTATGAGGGCCAGTATATATATTTTCTCAAGAAACAACATTTATTTAATTTTAGAATTTGTTATCATCATTTATTTTTTTAAAAAAATTATTTTATTCTGATACAAATTATTTCAAAATCTGTAGCGTGTGTTTTTTTTTTTTGACCAACCTGTAGCGTGTGTATATTAAAACGATAAAAAATAATCTGTTATTTGAAAATGATTCTAAAATTTATTATCGTCTGTGCCTGTAAAATATAAACAACTACTTCTTTTATTTTAAATTTTTTTATTAATATACTTCCTTTGGTACCTATTATAAAATACCTCCAATTATTTCATTGGGATGAAGGAAAAGAAGTTAAGTTATTAATTTTGTCTGAGAATAAAACAAAATTTTAATTTTATCACTACTTAAATGAATTTTTTTATTTGGCATTACATTCTCTATCATAATTAATGAGTTTAAATAAAAATAATATTAAAAAAATATAATTACTATCCTATAATGTGCCTTATATTTAAAAACTAAGAAATACTTTCAGAAAGTGTCATTTAATAAGGACACAAGGGAGTGCATATTAATTTAATTTAATTCATAATATTTTTTTTCAGATTTCAGTGTTTCACGCGTCCCCTTTTCAATGCTGTAGGTCCAACACCAACCTTTTTATTATGGCCCCATGTCATCCCTTTATTTTTCTTTTATCATATAAAATTTTGTAAAAAAGAAAGCTGAAAAGAATTAAAAAAATAAAGCATAGAAATTTTAAAAAAAATAAGAAGAAGAAGAAGAAAAGTCATATGGTTAATGTTGATCAATATCCACATCTTACAACAATTACTTAAGATCTACAGATAGATCTTCCGGCTATGGTCCGCTACTTTATTTGATTTTGCAATAACTATAATTTTATTTCCTATGCAAATCTTTAGTGTTTAGAAAATAAAAGAAACAACAATTTATATGATTTTAGAATTGGTTATCATCATTTATACTAAAATTTTTTCTGGTAAAAAAAATTTATACTCAAATATTTTATTTTATAAAAAAATTATTTTATTCTAACAAATTATTTCAAAATCTGTAGCCCGTTATATTTTAAAATTATATATATATATATATATATAGTTTATAATTTCTTTTCAAGTTTCACACATACCTTTTTGTGGGTGCATGAGATTGAGGGGTGCCGGCTTTGTGGCTTGACTTGTGAACACAGAACACTTCAACAAAGTTAGAAAATTAGCGGGCTCAGTCATTATAAGCTTGAGCCCTTAAGTTTAATTTTTTAATTTTTATTTTTTTAAGTTTGACCTTTATTTGACTAGCTCAGATTATGCCCACAAGCTTTGTTTCAAAAAAATTAAAATAAAATAAAACATTATGAATTAATTAAAAATATTTTAAAAATTCAAAATAAAAAATAAAATTAATCCTACCCGCAACAACAAGGGACTTGAATCAAATTTAAACAAAACACTGGAACAAATTTAAACAACACAAGTCATGATTGCAGCAACAAGGAGACTTGAATTAAATTTAAAACACAACAATGGATCAAATTTAAACAAAACATGCCATGATTGAATCAATGGATCAAATTTGAACAACAAAAACAGACTTGAATCAAAGAGAAAGTGAGCTTTAATATTTGGTAAATATAATAGGTGATATAGCAACCTGAATCATATAACCTTAAGTAGTGTTTGGTTGGAAGGGAGGGGAGGGGAAATAATAACACTACTTAAGATCTGTGATGAGAGGGAAGGAGAGATGAGAGGCGAGGGAAGGAGGAGAGATGAGAGGCGAGTCTACACTTTGCAGACGTCACCAGTCGAGAAGAGAGGAGGAGAAGGAGGAGACTGGAGAGCCGAGGGGCGAGAGGCCGAGAGCTCAAGTGGACTATCAACTGTCGTGCGCCGAGAAGAGAGAAGGAGGAGACTGGCTACTGTTGACTGGGACTAGTGAGGGGTGAGAGCCAAGAGGCTGAGAGCTTAGCTATGGAGCATGTGGTCTGTCTGCATGACTGCATCTAGCGTGCATAAGTGATGAGTCTCTCTTTGAAAGAAAATATTGACTTGGTCAGGGATGACTATCTCAGTTATTCCACCATTGTTCGCCTTGAAACTCCAATGGTCACCACCTGGACCTCCCCATGGACCTAAGGAAATCATTCCCTCCAAGATCCCTGAACACAAACCAATATCAATATTACATGAGCATGTTAATGTGAAAAAATTAATACCTTAGAATTCGTGTCATAGTACCATTCGCTTTGACTACGTACAGAAGAATATTGTGTTGAATGTTGATATCATATGCAGCTCTGAATGTATGTGGTGGATGATTATAACTCCTTCAGGTACTGTTATCAATCAGTTCCAAATTTTGCAGGGGAGGAAATTTTTAAGAAACTTTTTCAACTTTATTTACCAGAATGAAAGTCAACAGGGATGCACAATATAAAACTGAATCAGTGCCAAGGCAACTGCAGATGCTTGGAATATCCTTTAAATGAGTTATAATGTCATCCTTTACACCAGATTTTTTAGTAGTTCTTCAAATAGCAGAGAAGAAGAAGAAAGCATAACAAAGAACTGAAGAAGGGAAAGCAACAGTTATGATAAAGCTAAACAAACTAGTTGAAGTCTGCCGCCGGGGCCACTGAGCTGAAGAAGGCGAAGATGGAGTGTGGAAGAGGAAGACTGGAACTACGCTCTGATGTGCTGAAGAGTGAAGACGAAGACGAAGAACATCCGCCGACGAATCAATGAAGATCGACAGATCACAGAACAGAAAATGACAAGAGCAGCCGCGCATCAAGTGTTTTGACTTTTGAGCGAGTGACTGAGGTTGAGGGGTCTATAATCTTTTGAATGCCGATTTTACCCCATTGAAGTCCCCCTAGTTCCGGGTTTTTGCCGGGTTTACAAAAACTGCCCATTTCAAAGCGATCTGCCTCGGGCCAACAATTAGAATGTGTTAACTAGTTGAACCGAAGGCTTTCTTCACTGAGTGACAGTTTAAACAGTCAGATTACCCACTTGCCAGAACATTGAATACATTAGTACGGTTTAACTTGTGACTAATGTGAGGATACGGATGATATGCAGTGAAAAATCGTGTAGTGGATGGAAAGTAGAAATTTCTGGCCGTGAATTTTTGTATACTCACTAGTAAAAAATAGGTATATAAAAAAGTTACTCATTTATAAATACACAATCTTGTTTTATTCAAAATAAAAATTTATAAAAAAATATAATATTTTTAATAAATCTGTTAATAATTAATTTGGACAATAAAGATTTTATCTAGATGGTCCAGTTTAATATTAATTTTTTTAATTTTTTATAGATTGATTATTTAGATTTACTCTAACTGTTTATAGTTAATATTAAATTTGTTTATAATTCTTATAATTTTTTATTTTAATAAATACAATATTAAAAATAAAGATAATATTTCTAGAACTTTCCAAAAAATATTTTTTTCAAAAAATTACAAGATAAAAATTTTAAATATGAACCAAAATCAAATATAAATTGTTTAGAATAAAAATAAAAAAATTCATATCAAAATGGACCATCCAGATAAAATTTGTATTATCCAAATTAGTCAGACCTATTAAAAATATTATATTTTTATAAATTTTTATTTTAGATAAAATGTGATTGTATGTTTGCAAATGAAGAAATTTTTATACACCTATTGCTTGCTAGCTATTATATAAAAAATTATGATTAGGATTTTCTACTATTCCAGCCACTGCATGGTTTCCCACAGCACATGATCTGTATCCTTAATTTGAAATCTATGTGTATATCTAAATGTGTCTATAAACTTGCACTGTTTATAAGCAATGGTGATAAAAAATTATTTTATTCAAACATGAATTATTTTAAAATTTGTAGCATATGTATATTAAAATGATAAAAAATAATTTGTTATTTCAAAATGTGTTTTAAAATTTATTATCCTATATGCATGTGAAAATTTGGTCAAAATATATATGTTAACTTTAATATCTCAATTCATATCACTAAGTCAAATAATATGTGTACCTGAAGAATCCATAGCAAGTTATGACTCCTTGATTACTTCGAATATAGGCAAACTCATAACCCGCTAGACTCTTATAATTTTTTCAGTGAGTGCAGAGATAATAGAGAGAATGAAAAAGTGTTGTATATTTTGGTTATTGACTGATCACCTTATATGGGCCAAATCAATAATTACCTTTATAAATTAATTAATTAATTTTACATTATCCTTGAGTCAGTCAGTTAAGAGATACGAATAATTAATGGCTATAAGGTTGTAGGTTGAGCCTATTGTAGGTTGGGCCTATGCTTATAATCTACACAATATCATAAAGATCAATTTGTTTTAGGTTCAATGTCTAATTAAGGCAAATCCATACTCCCTTCTTTTCTATATATAAGAGAAAAAACTGTATCACACATTTTAAGAAAGTTGTTTAACTATAATAATTATGTCTAAAGATAAAAAACAAGATTAAAATACCCTATGTTAATCAACATAAGCATGCATTAATTATTTCTTATTAATGTAAATTATGAGCGGTGATTTAGAAAATGTGTAATAAATGTTTGTTAAAATAGGTGATTTTGCTTATATAAAAAAATAAATAAAAAGTGATGGTTTCTCCTACAAATAAACACGAAGAGAGTAAGATATACATATTCTCACAATTTTCTACTTGTATTACATTAATTAAACAACATCGAGCCATCGACAAAATTTAAAAAATGAAACTTTACAAATCACTAAATCCTATAGAGAAGCAAATGATAATTAGACAGAAAAGTAATGTTTTATAATCTGAACAAAATAGGATATAAAATTTTATTCCAAACATAGTTTAACAGGATAACAACATAAGATCACTTATTTCTATTGGGAAACAAGTGACATGTATAGAGCATACTATAACAAAATCATTGAATCCCATGGAAAAACAAATGATATAATGCATCTAATTAAACTAAACATATAATGGGTCTTCTTACCACAACTCAGTAGAGAGAAAACACAAAGTCACTAAATCCTATAAGAAAACTAGTGGCATTAGGTGCATTAACACAAATTATTGAATCTTATAGGAAAACAAATAATATAAAGCACCATAATATTTCTAAACCAAAATGAAACTCAATAAAAAAACACAATATCACTAAATCCCAAGAGGAAACAAGTGATATAAGATGCATATGAATAGGAATTATTGAATCTTATGGGAAAACAAATAATATAAAGCATCTCATTGTTTCTAGCAAAATCACCTTAAACCATCAAATGTCCTTAAAAGGATATAACTCAGACTTTCATTGAACTAAGGTTATTTCAAAGATCAATTAAACCCTCATGGGTAGACCTTTAATCATATAGATATATAAGCACGTATTGGAAACAAGTGATACAAGATACATATAAACATGAATCATTGAATTCTATAGGAAAACAAATGATATAAAGCATCTCATTATTTCTAGCAAAATGATCTTAAACCATTAAATGTCCTTTTAAAAATATAACTTAGATTCCCACTGAAACAAGGCTATCTCAATATATCAGTTAAACCCTCATGAGTAAACCTTTGGTCTCACAGACATATAAGCATGTATTCACCACAGAAGTAAATCAAATAAGTCTGAGTATCTATAATGTTCTCCAACAAATCTTTGAGAGAAGCTCAAAGTAGAAAAAATATCATATTAATAGATAGAGGAAATAACAAAATGTATGTCCAACAATATTTTCTTCAATTATATAACCTAATGAAAGGCTTTACAATGAGTGTTTTATATATATATATATATATATATTTCACATAATAAATTAATGTAGTTATAAGTGTCTGTGATATACTTCTTTTCCAAGGTAAACTTCTTTTCTAGTTACCATGAAACACACGAGATGCAACTTCTATATCCTCATAACCATAATTTTAACACAGGATATTATCAAATTTCTAGAACCCCACCATTAAGGTGCTATGTGCCTTTTGGTAAACTAGAATTTTCAAAAATGATTATTCAGTAATTTCTTGTGAGGATTTTGCAAGTATTTACCAAGGGATACGTGATGCAAAATCTAAATCAAAGGCTAGCACATATTTTAACATCCTCAGAGTCATTCGTAGTGAAAGCATACAAAATTCTTTATATGTAAAAAATGATCCTCCTTAATATTTATTCTGAGGACATTGAAACTTAAGTAACCTTATACCTTTTAACACAGGTATCAAACTAGGAGTGTGCATTAGATTTTGAACACTCAATTGAAAATAAATTACCTGAGACAAAGCAAGGATGTTAATAGACTTATTAAAATGGATAATAATCCTTCAACAAAATATTTTTAACATAATATTTTAATATCAATGTGGCAGGACCACAAGTACTTTATCTCATTTACTTAATTATTAGCTAATAACTAGTTACTAACATGAAGCATAAAAGGCAAAAGACTGCTCTTCTCAGCTTTTAACAAATATATACAAATTTGAAGTATTTCAAGTAAAATTAAAGGAAGTTAATGGCTTTATCAAACTTTAAATATCACTACCTAAAGACTTGCTTATTCCCATAGATGGTTTTAGATATTTACACATTAAATGTTTTTAACTAAATGTGACAAAACCAACTTATTAAGGTATGCCAATTCCTTCCTTCAAGTCTCCATTTGTGTGAGATAATTTAATGTCAAATTATTATAACATTCATAAGTAGTATGATAATGTCCTCACCATGTAAAATAAGAAAGGTCTATACCTTATAACTTTCACCATTATTCATATGGTTAATCATAAATGAGTACTTCTAATAAGGTATTACAGGCATACCAACTCTATGAGATCATCTTAATAAAATCAACTCCTCAATATATATCATAAATTGTTTATTTTAACGAGTGAATTCCTAGCAACGTCATCCTTATCAAATGAAACTTATCAACAAACATGCTTAGGTAAAGGTGGTGCTCTTAACAAGTAGGCCAATAATCTAAACCTATAACTCTCACTATTTATTTGAAAGTAATATTCAAGTTTGATTAACTTAATAGTGGGTAACAAAATTAGAACCTTGATTTTATGCAATAGTAAACTATAAGTCCCTTAATAAATTTTAAGATTAAGCTTCTTCAACTAAAGGTATCACTTATAATTTCTAGTCCAATACAAATAATTTATCTTACATTATTTCAGACACTAGATTATTGGCCATCAAATTCAAAAATAGATTAAGGACTTTATCAAAAGGGTTATAACAAAATATATTTAATGTTACCATACCTATAAGGAATAAGAAATATCAAAACATTAAAACTTTTATTTGCAAACTTGCCAAAATAAATGCCAAACTATTAACAATAGTAATATCTAATTTACAAAAAGTGTCCTTTCTCAATATGATATTTATAAATAATTTCAAAATTTTAAACACAAATTATATTAACACTGACATACCTATGGGTAAAATTCATTGTCAACATAATATTTGAAATATAATTTTAAATAATACACTGTTATGATTTGACTCACTATAAGTGAGTATACAATTATTAAGTGTAAATGACTCTTGTAATATCACACAAAAATTTATAACTAACTTATTTGTAAATGCACTTAGCTTATGAATGGAGCTAGAAGATCTAAATATTTGTATTTTATCAAACAAACAAATGGAAACTAAGAGACCAAATGAGATTATAAAAGGTAATTTTTTTTTAGTTTAACAACTCCCACTTAAATGAGCCTAAGCTTTCAAAATTATTTCAAACTTGAAACGCTTCATCCC